GATAACAGACTTAAACCTAAGGCATGAAACTATAAGAATTCTAGAAGAGGTTGGAAAAACTCTAGATACTGGCCTAGGGAAAGATTTATGAAGAAGACTCCAAAGGCAATTACAGCAGCAACAAAAATAAATAAATGGTGCCTAGTTGAGTTAAAAAGTTTCTGCACAACGAAGAAGACAATCAATAGAGCAAACAGACAACTTATAGAATGGGAGAAAATATTTGCATGCTATACAACCAATAAAGGGTTAATAACCAGAACCTACAAAGAACTCAAGCAAATCAGCAAGAAAACATCAAACAATTGCATTAAAAAGTAGACAAAAGACATAAACAGAAAAAGACAGACTAATGGCCAATAAACATATGAAAAAATGCTCCATGTCTCTAATCATCAGGGAAATGCAAATCAAAACCACAAAATGAGTTATTGCCTAACTCCAGTGAGAATGGCTTTTATCCAAAAATCACAAAAACAACAGATGCTGACATTGATGTGCGGAGAAAGGAATGCCTATACGCTGTTGGTGGGACTGCAAACTAGTACAGCCTCTATGGAAAGTAGAATGGAGATAACTCAAAGAACTAAAAGTAGACATACCATTTGATCCAGCAATCCCACTACTGGGTTTCTATCTAGAGGGGAAAAAAACACATTTTATGAAAAAGACACTTGTGCTCAAATGTTTACAGCAGCACAAATCACAAAGATGTGGCCCACTGATACATGAGTGGATTAATAAAATGTGGTCTATGTGTACCATGGAGTATTACTCAACCATAAAAATGCCTTTTGTAACAACCTGGATGGAACTGGGCCTCAGTTTCCCCAAGGTTTTCTGAAGTGGAAGGATCTCGAGTTATGCAAAGAGGAGAGAGAAAAGGTGGAATGGCATGAATCAAGGCAGGCAGAAGGGACAGTCTGGAGGGTGTACGGATGTGAGTAAAGCAGACTGGCGAGGGTAGAGTTTGTGCCAGAGCTGTGGGCAGGCGGCGAGAGGCTGTGCATGTCAGGATGAAGCAGTGCTCCTCGAGTGGGACAGCAGCCCAGGAGGACAGAGACGGTCTCCTGGGCTACAGGAGGGCACCTGTAGGCACTTATTTACATTTACCTTTTCTCATTGTCTTAAATTTCTATTTGTGTTCTATTTCTGTTCTATTCTTAAATTTCTATTTGCTATAGAATGAAAATGACTTATTACTGAAGAAGGACACACACCATTTATAAGTAACATACATAGACTGGAGTTTCTTGAAGTTTCCTGAAGTATTTTTTTGTTGTGTTTTGTCTCGTCTTTAAACAACTGAAGTCCACTCAATAAACTGGAAATCACTGCATTTGGTGAATGGGAGATTAATTTTTTTTTTTTAAAAGCAGGGAGATGAAATGGCCAAAGTCCATACTGTAACTTTCCATTCTCCTGAGTTTTACTCCCACACACAAATAATCCATTGCACTTTTCCTTCAATTATCTGGTTATTTTGCTACATCACCTTAAGTTAAAGTGGCCATAGATTTATGGCCATTCTGATTTATAGTCAAGTACATGGCCACCTGGGGTGTAATTTGAAGGGTACTAGGCCAGTTCTGACCAGCTAAAAATATTAATTGTATTAAGTGTCGGGGGGCTGCCATTTTCTGCATTTATGGCTCTTTCGTGGTTCATGCTGGAAAAAAGGCATTACAGTCATTATTTAGAACATGGCATGCACCGCTTGTGCACTGGCACCAAGAATATAAAGGAGGAAGAAATAAAGTGAGAGAGGGAAGCAGGAGGGAAGAGGGTCGGGGAGATTTCAACACGAAAATGCAATGTCTTCCTAACATGCAACGTAGTCTGTGCTCCATATGTAGTTGGGTTTTCAGTAAATAATGTTGACTAAATGAAGAGACAAAAAAAAAAGAGTTTAAAGGGAAATAGGAAGTGTCTTGAGTCACAAATAGAGCAAGGGCCTGAGTGGCCCTGAGCTGAGCATGGCAGGTTCGTGGTGTTCCCAGCCTAGGGGTCGTGAAGTTTGAGGAGTGACATTGCCAGGCAGAGGAGGAGGGTGGGGTTCCAGGCAAAAGGGGAGCCCCTCCATACGACAAGAGGGTATGATGGGAATCACTGACACCAATTCCTTCATTCTAGTCACCACAGTGGTACCATCGTGAGGGGAGGGGCGGGAAGGGGAGGGGAGAGGAGGGGAGGGGAGGGGAGGAGAGGGGAGGGGGACTGGTACTGTTGGGCTGCTGAGGAATGTCAGCACAGGGATGCTGCCAGACAGAGCCTCTGAGACACCAAGGCAGCAAGCAGACGGGGACAGAAAGGGAGACAGCTTTTCAGGAATAGAGCCCAGGCAGGGGCAGGCAAGGAGGAACAAGCCCGGAGGATTTCCTCTTAGCTTTGATCATGACCTCATCCAATAGAGAGAGAGAGAGGAGAGGAGAGAGAGAGAGAGGAGAGAGAGAGAGAGAGAGAGAGAGAGAGGGAGAGAGAGAGAAGGGAGAGAGAGGAGAGAGAGGAAGGCAAGAGAGAGAGAGAAAGAGGAGGAGAGAGAGGAGAAAGAAGAAGAAGAGAAGGAGAGAGGAAGGAACGGGAGAGGAGGAGGAAGAGAGGGAGAGAGAGGAGAAGAGCAGAGAGAGGAAGAAGAAGAGGGGAGAGAGGAGAAGAGAGAGAGGAAGGAGGGGAGAGAGGAACGAAGAGATGAGAGAAGAGAGAGAGAGAGAGAGAGAGAGAGAGAGGGAGAGAGAGAGAGAGAGGGAAGAGAGAGAGAGAGAGGAAATAGAGAAGGAGAGAGGAGGGAGGAGAGAGAAGAGGAGAGAGAGAGAGAGAGAGGAGAGAGAGAGAGAGGAAGAGAGGAGAGAGAGAAGAGAGAGAGAGAGAGGAGAGAGAAAGAGAGAGAGAGAGGAGAGAAGAAAGAGAGAGAGGAGAGAGAAGGAAGAGAGAGAGAGAGAAGAGAGAGAGGAGAGAGAGAGAGAACGAGAGAGAGGAGAGAAAGAAGAGGAGAGAGAAGAGAGAGGAGAGAGGAGAAGAGAGAGAAGAAGAGAGAGAGAGGAGAGAGAGAGAAGAGAGAGAGAGAGAAGAGAGGAGAAGAGAAGAGAGAGAGAAGAGAGAGAGAGGAAGAGAGAAGAGTAGAGAAGAAGAGGAGAGAAGAGAGAAGAGAGAGAGGAGCAGTAGAGACAGAAGAGAAGCAAGAGGAGAGAGGAGAGAGAGAGAGAAGAGAAGAGAGAGGAGGAGGGAGGGGAGGAGGGAGAGGGAGGAGGGAAGGAGGGAGGAGGGAAGGCGAGGGGAGGGAGGGAGGGGCAGGAGGGAGAGGAGGGAGGAGGAAGAGAGAGAGGCAGAGAGAGAGAGGAGAGGAGAGAGAGGACGAGAGAGAAGAGAGAAGAGAGAGAGAGAGAGGAGAGAGAAGAGGAGAGAGAGGAGAGAGGAGAAGAGGAGAGAGGGAGAGGAGGAGAGAGAGGAGAGAAGGAGGAATGAGAGAGAGAGGAGAGGAGAGAGAGAGGAGAGAGAGAGAGGAGAGGAGAGAGGGAGAGGAGAAGAGGAAGGAGAGAGGAAGAGAGAGAGAGAGGAGAGAGGAGAGAGAGAGGAGGAGAGAGAGAGAGGAGAGGGAAGTGAGAGAGAGAGAGAGAGGAGAGAGAGAGAGAGGAGAGAGAAGAGAAGAGAGAGAGAAGAGAGAGAGTGAGAGAGGAGAGAGAGAGAAGGAAGAGGAGAGAGAGGAGTGAGAGGATGATGAGAGAGAGAGGAGAGAGAGAAGGGAGAGAAGAGGGGAGAGAAGAGAGGAGGATGAGGAGAATGAGGAGATAGTGAGCAGAGAGAGAGACGAGAGAGAAGGAAGAGAGGAAGGAGAGAGGAAGAGAGAGAGAGAGAGAGAGGAGAGAGGAGAGGAGAAGAGAGAGAGAAGAGAGGGAAGAGGATCGGGAGGGGAGGGACGAGTGAGGCGGAGGAGAGGGAGGGAAGAGGAGGAGAGGGAGGCGAGGGAGGGCGCAGGGAGGGGAGGAGGGGAGGAGAGGAGAAGCAGGAGGAGAGGAAGAGAGAAGAGAGAGGCACTAACACAAAGCCCGATGTAAGCTCAGGGGGAAATGAATCCACAGAGTCTTGATCCCGAAGACTTTCTGGAAACAGCCCTGGGAAACTCTTAAAGCTCAGGAAAGCTACATGCAGATCACTCTAGGTAAAGCAGGACTGACTCTTATGGCTGTCGCCAAAGGAGATGCCACCACTCTGGGCTCTGGGCACCTGCATCTCAGTTAATCCTCAGATCATCCCTGAGAAGCAGCACCCTACTGTACCCATTTTACAGGTGAGAAAGAACACTGAGGCTATGAGAGGCTGTCACCCAGTGCAGTTCACACAGCTAGGTGGTGATGGAAACGGGACTGGAGCCAAACCTCTCTCATCTTTCATCCATACCATGACATACATCCCAGACCCCTCATGCAGGCCAGCAGCATTCCTTCTTGCCTGGATGTAGCTCACTGCAGGACACTCCATTTCCAGGAGGTTCCAAGTGCCGGCCACAGTGGCCTCAGCTATGCAGATCTCCAGGGCCCAGCACACATTGAGACACGAGAGTCCTGAGCCGGGAGAGCCACCAGCCCTCCAACACACAGCAAAAGTTCCTCGCTGGATCCAGGTGAGACAATGACAGGCTCGCCCCTGGGCTAGCCATTTATAGCCTCCTGTATTCAAATGAGGTGTTCTGGAATACCCATTCTGATTGGATATCATTATCCAATCAGAATTGGAAGCGTAGGTTTTTATTACCCAGTTAGAATAGTTATTACTGAACACCTCATTCCATCGGAGGTCCTGATTGGCCTACCGGTGCCTACATCATTTTATCGACCGGAGCGCAACGGCAGGTAATTTGAAGAGGTTAGTCTTAGACTCAGTGGGGTCCTGTGGCTGTTCCGCCCTGGTTGCTCGGGCTGGGGTCATGCTCTCCGGCGCCACCTGGGCACAAACCTGAGCCTCGTGGGCGGCGTGGCCAGGAGGAAAGGAAGGACTTCGCTACCATGCAGGAGGGACCTTCGCTGAGCGAGGTAAGGACGGACCCCATGAGAGGCCTGTCCTTGGCGGTGAGGAGGCTCGGGGCACCCGGAATGGGGGGTCACAGTGTGCAAGTGGTACCCAGGGGTGAGTGGCTCTGTTGCTTTCCCCGAAGGGGTTTGTGTGACGCCTGGAGCCCCAGGGCCACCATCCATGTGTGAGGACGCCCAGGGAGCTGGATCAGGCATGATGTCCCCAGGCCCTGACGCTGCGTGGGCCCCAGTTCTTAGCCGGCTTTGGCCAAAGCAGAGAGTAGATGTTGCAGAGTGGGTGTAAGGACATCAGGTGAAGCTCAGGCATTCAGGTGTAAGGACATCAGGTGAGGCTTCTGCACCTGTGTAAGGTGTGAGGTGACTCCCACCACATCCTCCACTGTGCTTTCTTGCCCTGTGGGCTGAGGTGTCTGCCCCCTCTCCTGGGGGTGCACCTGCAATCCCATGTGAATGTTCTAGGGGTGGATGTTCTAGGGGTGTGTCCTAGTGGACTTTGAAGGCCAGTTCCCAGAGGAACTGGGAGAATGTTCTAGGAAGGGCTGCGGGGAAAGGGGTTCACCGGCCCCACCCTACACAGGCCCACAGCCAAGCCCTGCGCAGTGCTCCTGGTGTCACCTGCCCCACACATGCTGCCAGGCCCTGGGTAGTGGGGAAGAGAGGGGTGGCCTCGTGGGTGGCCACGGGGAGCCTGCTCCCTGAACATAGCCAGCTCCCATGGTGGGGTGGGGGAGGCACACGCCCATCTCCAGCCTGGCAGGCTGGCCCAGGGAAGCCTTGCCAGGGTAACCGTGAGCCCGCAGGGTAGAGGGAGGGCTGTAGCAGGACTAGCCGACCTGAGGGTGATTACCAAGGGAAGGCGTTGGGAGTAGACCTGCCTTGTGTGACCTGCTGGACCCTGCCACAGGTGCGGCGGTCCCAGGTCCTCTGGTGCAGGGCAGAGGCCGGCCAGGCCCTAGCCCGCCGCTTGGCGTGGGCCCCCATGGGCCTGGCACTCTGGCCCAGCCCTCTGCTCCAGCCCTCTGCTCCACGCAGCTGAGGAGGAGGAAGATCCTGTGCCCTCGTAGGAGGCTCCAGGCCTGCAGGTGGAGAAACAGGAGGCAGCTACTAAAATTATTACCTAATCTTTCGAAATGATTTTTTTTTTGCTGTAGTTTGACAGGTGTTTTATTTTTCCTTCAATTTAAAATTTTTATGTTTTTAAAAACTTTATCCCTTATGTTTTCATGCTTTTTGGTTCTATTTTGAACCAAAATATTGTCTTCTAAGTTATATTTTTAGGATGCTCATAGCTAGCATATGGAAATACAGTTGACATTTTTATCTTGATTTCATAGTCTGAAAAACTGCTAAACATATTTATTATGTAGGACAGGTTTTTAGTGATATCCTCAGGATTTTTTAACATATGAAATTGTGTCTTGGTCATCAGATGGCAATTTTCCTATTTCAGTAGCCATCTGGAGTCCTTTTCTTCATATTTCCTTACATGACGTTTTTAGCAGAATCCTGTAGTGCAGTGTCGACTGGGAGTACTAAAAGTGAATGTATCTTGTTCCTAATCTTAGGGGAAAACATTCTTTCCACTAAGTCTGTTGTTTACTATAGGTGTTCTGTAGATGGTCTTTATCAGGATGTGAAAATTCTCTTCAAGTTCTAGTTTGTTTAACATTTGAATCATAGGATGGATTTAGTGAAATGCTCTTTTCTGTATCAGTGAGATCCTTACATCTTTAGCTTCCTTAATTTTAGAGACTGTTATGTTAAGTTGTTTTAAACACCTTTGAGATCTAACTGATACACAAAACCCCTGCATGTTTACTGGTTCGGTTTCATGCAACTGGATATATCACCTGTGATACAGGACCACAATCCAAACAATACGTTTATTCATGTTAAGTCCACATACCACAACACACACAGGCATATTCATGAAAATGAAGACGATTTTGAAAGTACAGGTGTGAATGATGGATACATTAGTCATTTTCTTAATGCTACACAAACTATTTGTGGCACAGTCTTGCTTGATCAAGGTATATAATCTTTTCTATGTGTTGGATTCTGTTTAGTAGTGTTATATAAAGGATTTCTTTGTCTATACTCAAAAGGAAAGTTGTAGAGTTTTGTTTTACTATTATGCTTCTGGGTGATTCTTATAGTAGGTATGGCCTAGACAGGAGTCCTCAAACTTTTTAAACAAGGGGCCATTTCACTGTCCCTTGACCGTTGGAGGCCATTGGAGAGTGCAGCGCACATTCCACACATGCGCACTGTGGGCCCGGGACGCGTCGGCTGCTAAGCAGGATAGGCAGTGGCAGCAAAAACACCCAGCGGGCCGGATAAATGTCCTCAGTGGGCCACATGTGGCCTGCCGGCCATAGTTTGAGGACACCTGGCCTAGAAGATTGAATTGGGATGGGAACTCATTAGAGCACATAAAGTGTATTATGTATTTTTCCAAAGTACTTAGCATGTGTCTTTAATGTAATAGTTTTAAACGTATAGCACAAAGATTCATTGAAAAGGATGAGTTGGTATATTTACAGTTATCCCAGGTAACATCAAAACTATCATGAAATCGATTGGGTATGGAAGAAACATACTACTACAACAAATGCTAACTGCACTTATTATTAGCAAGATGCATTAGTTAGACACATAGACACACGAACAGCAATTTTTGTCGTAACCAGCTTATATACATTATTTTCAATGACTACAAAAAAGTTCTTGAGAATCACATGGTTTTTAGGCTCCAAAAGTGTCAATAATAGCTTGAAAGCAGAAATCCTATGGGTTGTATTTTCTTTTAATTGTGAAATAAAGTCATTAAATATGAAATGTCCGATTTTGAATTGAAAGTGCACTTTATTGTATCTCAAACCAGAAGCAAGCAGTACAGTTAATCAAAGTAGGCACCCGAACTATTGACAGCTTTGCCATCTTAGCAGCTTGTTTATGTCCGCTGCAGAGAATCCTGGAGAGCAGAGTGGCAGTTAAGTCACGAAAGGTGTTTTCCACAGCTTATTGACAATGGAATGTTTTTGCTCGCAAGTAGTGGTCCAAAGCTTGGACGAAGTGGTAGCAAGTTGGTGCAAGGTCTGGTGAATATGCTGGATGACAGAGAATTTCCAAGTCCAGCCTCTGTGGTTTGAGCAGCATTGTTTGTGCGACATGTGGTTGAGCATTGTCTTGCGTGAGGATTGGCCTGTGTGTCTTGACCAATCTTGGCCATTTACTCACAGCATGCTCATCATTCCATGCAGGTGGTTGGAGTAGACATCCGCTGTAATCGGTTGACCAGTTTCATGAAGCTGTAGTAAATAACACCAGTGCTGGACCACCAAACAGACACCATCAGCTTTTTTTGATGAATATTCAGTTTTGGACTTTTGTTTTGGCACTTCATCTTTATCCAACTATTGTGCCAAAAACACTTGAGTGCCTGTGAGATGAGGCCCTTCTTCAGGAGCTTGCCCTCGTCTGCTTCTCCAGGTTCTTCTCCCCAGCCCTCCTTCAAATTTTCAGGAGCTCCTGGCTACTCACCCCTCCCGGTACATACCTCTGTTCTGCGTAATTAATTTCTTATTTAAAGTGCTGAGCTCAGTATTAGACACAAGATGGCGCCAGGACTGTACTTAAGGCTTACTCTGCTGGCCACCGAGGACTGGCCTGCCTGTTAGCTGGCTTGGTTATTGGAACTTGTAGAAAGCCCCTCAGCACTTGCTTTATAAGCAGCCTGTGTATTTTTAGTACAACTCTCAATGAATTTTATGTATTGAATTAATCTTCCACATATAAAAAGGAAGGAGGAGTATTATGAAACTCACCACCAAGAGTGTTTCAGGATCACCATCATCTCCTTGGAGAGCGGAAGCCGCACAGTTTTACTCAGAACCCGGTTAAGGTGTGAATTCACTCACGGTCTCTTCCTACGTGGCGGTTCCTGGGATGCTCTAGGCAATTTGGCCAAGGATGGAGATATTTCCTTCTCTTCGTTAGGCTCTGATTCTTGTAAGCCAAGAAAGTGAATTCAGCCAGAAGGATTTTTTTTTCTAAAAAGTCACATTTATTTTCTATCCAAGCTAGTATTAGGTAAAAATCACATGTTACTTGCTCTGGTTTCTCAGAATTTTTTCATTTTTATTTTGAATGTATGAGATTGCATACCCTTCCCCATCCTAGGAGGGGCCACGAAATGGAATTGCACGCAAAAGTAAAACAGAGATGCGAGCTGGTCTCTACTGGCCGGGCGTGGGGCCTGACGTCCTTTGTAGATGAGTTTCCTACAAAGACAGACTGTTAGGGTGGGGAAATCTTCAAACAATAGAAGTATTTATTTTTTCGCCTCAGCTTTTAAAATTTATATTTGTAGCCATGGAATGGCATGTGCACAATAACCTAGTTGTATACAAGCTGTGTTTTTCCACATAAAGAAAAAATCGTCACAGAGCAGGTGGCCAAGAATCTTGTTGGATTTTCCCAGGAAAACAGCAATTAGGAAAGTAGATCTCTTCCCGCCTTATGGTCTTTCGTTAAAGGGAGGGAAAAGGCCAAGAAACACTTCTGAAGGTGAACACCCAGGGAATCAGGCCCGCTAACCAACAGAGATTTCATCATAAGGCAATGGAGTGCTTCCCTCCCCAACACCTCACCCCCACTGCAGGCAGTGCCCTGGTACAACACCGTGATGGAGAGCTGTAAAGCACAGGCTCTACTGAAGAAATTCTTGGGGAAAATTAAAGACAACGGGGAATTTAAAAAAATAAAATAAAGAAACAGTCTAAAACTGAAGCCTCTGGCACCTATTGCTGCAGCAAATATTAAACAAAGCCCAGCTTCTTATGAGTTTAACAGAAAACTTCACTAGAAGCCTAATCACATCATTACTGGCATGTGATACATCATATCCAGCGTTTAATAAAAAATTGCAAGACATACTAAAAGGCAAGTAAAAGTACAGTCTGAAGAACAGCCTCAGACCCCAACTCAGATGTGAC